CAGAGCCAGAAACAAGAGAGCCAGTAACAACAGAGCCAGAAACAAGAGAGCCAGAAACAAGAGAGCCAGTAACAAGAGAGCCAGAAACAAGAGAGCCAGTAACAAGAGAGCCAGAAACAAGAGAGCCAGTAACAACAGAGCCAGTAACAACAGAGCCAGAAACAAGAGAGCCAGTAACAACAGAGCCAGTAACAACAGAGGCAGTAACAAGAGCTATTATCAACAGAGCCAGCAACAACAGAGCCAGTAACAAGAGAGCCAGAAACAAGAGAGCCAGTAACAACAGAGCCAGAAACAAGAGAGCCAGTAACAACAGAGCCAGAAACAAGAGAGCCAGTAACAACAGAGCCAGTAACAAGAGAGCCAGTAACAAGAGAGCTAATAACAACAGAGCCAGTAACAAGAGAGCCAGTGACAACAGAGCCAGTAACAAGATAGCAAGTAACAACAGAGCCAGAAACAAGAGAGCAAGTAACAGCAGAGCCAGAAACAAGAGAGCCAGTAACAACAGAACCAGTAACAAGAGAGCCAGTAACAAGAGAGCCAGTAACAAGAGAGCCAGTAACAAGAGAGCCAATAACAACAGAGCCAGTAACAAGAGAGCCAGAAACAAGAGAGCCAATAACAAGAGAGCCAGTAACAAGAGAGCCCGTAACAAGAGAGCCAGAAACAAGAGAGCCAGTAACAAGAGAGCCAGTAACAAGTGAGACAGTAACAAGAGAGCCAGTAACAAGAGAGCCAGTAACAACAGAGCCAGTAACAACAGAGCCAGTAATAACAGAGCCAAAAACAAGAGAGCCAGAAACAAGAGAGCCAGTAACACAGAGCCAGAAACAAGAGAGCCAGTAACAAGAGAGCTAATAACAACAGAGCCAGTAACAAGAGAGCCAGTGACAACAGAGCCAGTAACAAGATAGCCAGTAACAACAGAGCCAGAAACAAGAGAGCAAGTAACAGCAGAGCCAGTAACAACAGAACCAGTAACAAGAGAGCCAGTAACAAGAGAGCCAGAAACAACAGAGCCAGTAACAAGAGAGCCAGTAACAACAGAACCAGTAACAACAGAACCAGTAACAAGAGAGCCAGTAACAAGAGAGCCAGTAACAAGAGAGCCAGTAACAACAGAGCCAGTAACAACAGAGCCAGTAACCACAGAGCCAGTAACAAGAGAGCCAGAAACAAGAGAGCCAGTAACAAAAGAGCCAGTAACAAGAGAGCCAGAAACAAGAGAGCCAGTAACAAGTGAGCCAGTAACAAGAGAGCCAGTAACACAGAGCCAGTAACAACAGAGCCAGTAACAACAGAGCCAGTAATAACAGAGCCAGAAACAAGAGAGCCAGACACAAGAGAGCCAGGAACAAGAGAACCAGTAACAAGAGAGCCAGTAACAAGAGAGCCAGGAACAAGAGAGCCAGTAACAACAGAACCAGTAACAGAACCACCAGCTGAACATGGTTGAAGTTACCTCACCTTGTACAAGTGTGTGTTTCGTACTACGGTCACTATCGTCAGTTACTGTCGTTACTGTCACCGCCGAGCGACAAATACAACACGCAGTAAGTCGTGGTAATCATTTATAAATGTCATAGCGGCATCGCCCGGCTAATAAGATCGATCGTGGCGCTCTGATGTCTTCAAGAAGGTTACCTGAATTATGCAGCTCTAGTGAGCTTCCTGCTGTGACCAGCTCACACAGCTCTAGTGAGCTTCCTGCTGTGACCAGCTCACACAGCTCTAGTGAGCTTCCTGCTGTGACCAGCTCACACAGCTCTAGTGAGCTTCCTGCTGTGACCAGCTCACACAGCTCTAGTGAGCTTCCTGCTGTGACCAGCTCACACAGCTCTAGTGAGCTTCCTGCTGTGACCAGCTCACACAGCTCTAGTGAGCTTCCTGCTGTGACCAGCTCACGCAGCTCTAGTGAGCTTCCTGCTGTGACCAGCTCACGCAGCTCTAGTGAGCTTCCTGCTGTGACCAGATCACGCAACTCTAGTGAGCTTCCTGCTGTGACCAGATCACGCAGCTCTAGTGAGCTTCCTGCTGTGACCAGCTCACGCAGCTCTAGTGAGCTTCCTGCTGTGACCAGCTCACGCAGCTCTAGTGAGCTTCCTGCTGTGACCAGCTCACGCAGCTCTAGTGAGCTTCCTGCTGTGACCAGCTCACGCAGCTCTAGTGAGCTTCCTGCTGTGACCATCTCACAGCTCTAAAGAGCTTCCTGCTGTGACCACCTCACACAGCTCTAAAGAGCTTCCTGCTGTGACCAGCTCACACAGCTCTAGTGAGCTTCCTGCTGTGACCACCTCACAGCTCTAAAGAGCTTCCTGCTGTGACCACCTCACACAGCTCTAGTGAGCTTCCTGCTGTGACCACCTCACACAGCTCTAGTGAGCTTCCTGCTGTGACCACCTCACACAGCTCTAGTGAGCTTCCTGCTGTGACCACCTCACACAGCTCTAGTGAGGTTCCTGCTGTGACCACCTCACACAGCTCTAGTGAGCTTCCTGCTGTGACCACCTCACACAGCTCTAGTGAGCTTCCTGCTGTGACCACCTCACACAGCTCTAGTGAGCTTCCTGCTGTGACCTCACACAGTTCTAGTGAGCTTCCTGCTGTGACCACCTCACACAGTTCTAGTGAGCTTCCTGCTGTGACCTCACACAGTTCTAGTGAGCTTCCTGCTGTGACCACCTCACACAGCTCTAGTGATACAAAAGCCTGATAAACCAGCTGAAGGTTTCTGGTATGGTACTTTTTTTCTGGCTGCTCTCCTGGCTGCTTTCCTGGCTGCTTTCCTGGCTGCACTCCTGGCTGCACTCCTGGCTGCACTCCTGGCTGCACTCCTGGCTGCACTCCTGGCTGCACTCCTGGCTGCACTCCTGGCTGCACTCCTGGCTGCTCTCCTGGCTGCTCTCCTGGCTGCTCTTCTGGCTGCTCTCCTGGCTGCTCTTCTGGCTGCTCTCCTGGCTACTCTTCTGGCTGCTCTTCTGGCTGCTCTCCTGGCTGCTCTTCTGGCTGCTCTCCTGGCTGCTCTTCTGGCTGCTCTCCTGGCTGCTCTCCTGGCTGATTCTCCCTACAATGTCGTCCATCTTCTACCATTTAAGATGCGTGAAGTTGAAGTCTCCAAGGAGGCTAATGTTACGTGTAGGATTCTAAAGGTTTCCTTGACAGGTATCTATCTTCTCCATTTGTTCACTGTATTCCTCTGTTATTCCTGTTTCTTCAGGGCCAGGCACTGTCTTATGGCACTCCTGCAAGTGTCATATGATGAAGATCGGATCTGATGATTGATTTGATGTCAATGACATAACCACCTGAAGGATTTGTTGTCTCTAACAGTCCACAAGACATGACAATGTGGACAATTATTGTGTGGCCGCCGCTGCTGCTGCTATTGTTGTTGCAGCTGCTTGTGGTATTGCTGGTTCTGTTGTTACGTTGTTTCTGCTATTGGTGCTATTAATTTTATCTGAAGCAGCAACAGTAGTAGTAGTAACGAAAGCAGTAACAGTAGTAGTAACAGGAATAGCAACAGTATCAATGGCAGTATGTGTATCACGACTGATCTGTAATGTTTACAAAGAGCAGCATCAACCCTGTAAAAGGGAGAATATCTGTGTTGGCAGTACAGGTGAGGGAAATGCAGGGGTCAGGGTGGCGGGGGAGAGCAGGGGGATGGAGAGTCAGCCACATGTATATTTAACAACACTCACAGTAGCCTTCTCAGCTTGACATTTAAGTCTCACTATTACAATTTAATTTAGTCTCCCACCTTGTGTCTCCACCAGCCTGGACTTACCTACCTGTGACTGGTCTCCAGGGCTCCTCTCCCACTACAGCCCCGACCCGCGTTGCCGGGAGCCACAGCTCCTGGACCTATCCATCTGCTATCGACTAGCTTTATCGAATCTTAAGTTCCAAAGCTATATCATGCACAGTCTTGCAACTGTGTAAGGTGCCTGCTTCACCACCTCTACCGCCTTCCTATCAATTTAACGTATTTTCCAGCATATAAGGCGCACGACAGAAGTATCATAACGGTAAATCACTAATCATATTCAAGGGTAAATTAACCTCTTACTTACCCACAGCCTACCCTTGACCCTGACCTTAAGCATATAAGGCCCAGGGTAATTTTCCAAGTCCTTTTTTGTGGGAAAAAAAGCGCGCCTTATATGCCGGAAAATTCTTCATTTTCTTTCTTACATGCTCCTCTATTATTCTATTATTTTGAGCTATTTCTTATCGTTCTTCTCTGACCTGCTCTTTTACCTGCTCCTGTCTCTCTCATTCTCATTCATCCACATTCTCGATGTCTTTTTGCAAGTTCCTGGTTGACGAGGTGTTTGCAACAGCTAGTATATTAGTACAGGGAGGCCCACTTATACAGCAAGTTAGGTTCCGGGCCCCACTTATACAGCAGGTTAGGTTCCAGGCCCCACTTATACAGCAGGTTAGGTTCCGGGCCCCGCTTATACAGCAGGTTAGGTTCCGAGCCCCGCTTATACAGCAGGTTAGGTTCCGAGCCCCGCTTATACAGCAGGTTAGGTTCCGAGCCCCGCTTATACAGCAAAATGAAGAATGCGTATTACTGAAAACTGGTGCATTAACGAAACGCTGTAAAGTGAAACGCTGTAAAGCAGGACCTGCCTGTACTGCAACTTTTCGCTCATTATCCTGCCAGCATCTCTACCACAACACTGAATGTTAGGCCGAGCCTTAGATAGGTTAGATAAAGGAATTGATTTCAATTATAGCAAAGTTAGGTTAGCTTGTTACCATATATCTCTCACCCACTGTGTCTCCCATCTCTCCTACTGTATCTCTCCCACTGTGTATCTTCTATACTTCCAAAAATCTCACTCACGAGGTATCTCGCCCATCACCTATCTGCTGCTTTCCCTGTCAGCAGCTGCATCAGTGAACAGCAGAGAGCAGCTGCAGCAGTGAACAGCACAAAGCAGATGCAACAGTGAACACCTGCAATAACAAAATGAGATACTTACTGTGGCAGCGGGTTGATGTGTATCTCCTGGACCGTGGAGGAGCGCTCGCTTCGTCTCTCTCCCTCACCTGCAATATAAAGCACCTATTGCTAGTCATTACACACCTATGGCTAGTCATCACACACCTATGGTTAGTGACCATCCCTGAACGTGTCCTTGGAAGCACGACTGTCATACACAAGGAATCAAAACACTTGCATAACCCTGGGTAGCATGGGTATAGAGCAGGTCGTTCCTGCTTTTCACAACTGCTAGATCATTACGACATTGTCTTGGACGCACTGTTAGACAAACTAAGTGCTGATGTCGTGTACAATGATTTTGAAGAAGTGCGATAGCGCACAACATCCGTACAGAATGAATAACCGGAAAAATAGGCAGATGGATATTCATCTTAACAAATTGAAACCATAGTAGTAGTAAACAGAGTGAAGTCAGAGACTGCCACAGTGAAAAGTTCTGTTCCTCAAGGCATAGTACTCGCCCCAACTTCTGTTTCTCATTCTTATATCCGACACAGACTACGGACGTAAATCACAGCGCCGTAACTTCATTTGTTGACAACACCAGAATCTCTTATTAGCGTAGCATTGGTCGAATATAACGAATCTTTAAGAGGATATAAGATAATTGTTCCCGTTGTCTCTCAGACAACAATATGAGGTTCAGTGAGGACAAATTTCAGTTCTACTATGGAAGAATGGAGACAGTAAAGACTGGGCGGACTACACGACAAAGTCACATCATTCAACACAGCGAAAGTTACATGTGTGAGACTTAGGAGTGATGATGTTAAAAGATCTCACATTCAAGGATCACAACAATGTTGCTATCGCAAGGAAAATGATAGGCTGGATAACTAGAATGCTCATGACAAGAGATGCTGAGCCAATGATGACATTCAAGTCACTTGTTCTCTCAAAGGTATTTAGTCTACTGAGGGGCTCCTTCAAGGTAGGCGAGTGTGTTGATCTAGAAAACTTTCACTGCCGGTATATATATTCAATTAAACATCTGAAGTACTAGGAACCTTTGAAGTCTATTGAACTATACTTCTTAGAACGTAGGCTACGAAGCACACCATAATTCACACCTAGAAAATCCTAGAGGGACTGGTCCAGAACCTGAACACTCGAGTCATTCCATATAAAAGCAAGAACTTTGGCAGACGGTGCAAGTACCTACAATTAAAAGCAGGGGAGCGCCGAGTACACTGAAGAGAGAACTCGAAGAGTTTCAGAGGTCCCCGATTTTACAAAGCCGTCCCTTTATGTATAGGAAAAATTACCAACTAAACTCTGCACGTCTTCAAGAGAAAACTTGGTAAGTTCTTCCAATCAGTGCCTGACAAGCGGGCCTGGCTCGTACGCTGGACTGCGTGTGGCCAACAGTAACACTCTAGTTCATCAAGCCTTGATCCACCGGGAGTCCTAGTCTGAGGCCGGGCCACGGGGGGAGTTGATCCCTGGAAGCTTCATTCAGGTACCAGTGCTTAGTCATCAAACGCCTGTGGTTACTCCAGAAGAGTAACCACAAAGGATCGTACATGCAATGATCGCAACAATGTTGTTAACGCTACCGTAAGAATACAAACTAACAGCCTTCTTGACGGTTGGAGAGACTGCAACGCTAGACAACTAAGAGAACTTTCATTGCTTGTGTAACATCTGAAATACTGAGAACACTCGGAGTCACCTGAACTGTGTTCCTTGGACCGTAGGTGAAAAAGACATTAAAATTTATACCTGAAAAATTCTGGAGGGACTGGTCGCAAATTTGCACACACCTCAAATAAAAACAGGGTGAAGATGATCACACTAAGAGACAAGGCAATAAGTGTAAAGAGACCAGACTTTCAACACCTTCCCTGGGCTGTCTTCAAGAGCAAATCTGAAAAGTTCGTTAGGTTAATTCCTGATCAGCCCGGATGTGGTGCATAGGCTGAACTACGCCTGGCCCATGGCCGGGCTCAGAGAGTAGATAAACTCTCGAAACTCTTCAAAGGTATATACCAAGATCTGTTGGTCAGATCATCAACCAGAAGACTTGCTCTGAGACCAGGTTGCACAGATTCCCGAAATCATCATTAAAATAATCATGCACTGGTTAACTGCAGAGGTGATAGGAGTGTTGGTAAGGGGAAGGGTTGGGGTGGTGGGGGGAGTTGGTGGAGGGACGGTAAAGGTAGTGGGGCTTGGGGTGGAGGGAGGGTAGAGGTGATGAGTGTGTTGGTAGGGACAGGGTAGAGGTGGGGGAGGGTGTTGGTGGTGGGGAGGGTGTTGGAGAGTCGAGGGGAGGATAGTAGAGGTGGTGAGCACAGAGAACAAGGAACAACTGTAGTGGATGTTGATAAGGTAAACAAACCACCACTTTACCCCTCCATACCACCGCACACCACTCCACTCTTTACATACCACACTATCTATCTATTCAACCACTCCACTCTTTACATACCACACTATCTATCTATTCAACCACTCCACTCTTTACATACCACACTCTCTATCTATTCAACCACTCCACTCTTTACATACCACACTATCTATCTATTCAACCACTCCACTCTTTACATACCACACTATCTATTCAACCACTCCACTCTTTACATACCACACTATCTATCTATTCAACCACTCCACTCTTTACATACCACACTATCTATCTATTCAACCACTCCACTCTTTACATACCACACTATCTATCTATTCAACCACTCCACTCTTTACATACCACACTATCTATCTAATTCAACCACTCCACTCTTTACATATCACACTATCTATTCAACCACTCCACTCTTTACATACCACACTATCTATCTATTCAACCACTCCACTCTTTACATACCACACTATCTATCTATTCAACCACTCCACTCTTTACATACCACACTATCTATCTATTCAACCACTCCACTCTTTACATACCACACTATCTATCTATTCAACCACTCCACTCTTTACATACCACACTATCTATCTATTCAACCACTCCACTCTTTACATACCACACTATCTATCTATTCAACCACTCCACTCTTTATATACCACACTATCTATTCAACCACTCCACTCTTTACATACCACACTATCTATCTATTCAACCACTCCACTCTTTATATACCACACTATCTATCTATTCAACCACTCCACTCTTTATATACCACACTATCTATCTATTCAACCACTCCACTCTTTACATACCACACTATCTATCTATTCAACCACTCCATTCTTTACATACCACACTATCTATTCAACCACTCCACTCTTTACATACCACACTATCTATCTATTCAACCACTCCACTCTTTACATACCACACTATCTATCTATTCAACCACTCCACTCTTTACATACCACACTATCTATCTATTCAACCACTCCACTCTTTACATACCACACTATCTATCTATTCAACCACTCCACTCTTTACATACCACACTATCTATCTATTCAACCACTCCACTCTTTACATACCACACTATCTATCTATTCAACCACTCCACTCTTTACATACCACACTATCTATCTATTCAACCACTCCACTCTTTACATACCACACTATCTATTCATCTAACTCTCTTTTTCTCTCTATATATATATCTCATATATGTCACACTTTAAAGCTCAGGAGATATATATAAGGAATATACTGGAGAACTTGGAGAAGATGAGGATGAGAGAGAGACTTGCCAGAAGGGAGAGAGTGTATTTTAATTGCTGATAATTACACATTAATGAGAATACAATAATCACAAACAAACGATACAAGATGCAAAACCACCATAAGGGGAGTTGAATGATAGATCTAGGTGTTTCATGTTGCAATCAATACAACTTCAGGAGTTTGCAGTGCAGGAGAAATAAGTAAGACGCTAGCTAGAGTCGTTCCTTTGACCGAATCTACCTGGACTTCCTACTCATTTCTGCAACATTGCAAGCTCTTGAAGATGTGTTGATTGCAACACAAAGGGCCTAGAGCTATCATTCAACTCCCCCGTGGTTGCATTAATAACAATAATAACAGCAAGAGAGCAGAGAGGATCCAAGTCTTCAGGTCAGGCTGTTGAAGTGTTCTGATTGGTTGATGGAGTGACCAATCAGGACAGCCAGGGCCGTCATTTTGTACATGGCTTCCTGAGTGTTGATCCTACCTAATCATGTCCGTCTCAATTACAACCTACCCAACATTCTCCATCTGACTCTCCACACTATACTCATGTACTCTTTACCCGGGTACATCTGTTTGTGACTTGAAGTCCACTGTGTGGGCGAAATGTAGTCAATAAAGGATCACATTACACTATACGTATTTGTCTTTATTTCCTACATATAGGAACCCGACAAGACCCAAAAGGTTTACAAGAGGTCCGGTGGCATCGTTGTAAGGAATGTACTAAACAGTATGTGAAGGAACTGAGCTTCACAACAATCTTACACTGAATCATTGTATTTGTTTGCTTATCACTCGCTACTATTGATTATCTCTTGAAGGTTCTGGGGGGTCGTTGCTCCCACGGCCTCTCTCACACCCTCAACTTAGTTACAATAAAGACAGTCTTGAAACTGATGTCCTGAACATCAGTACTACCTATGTATGTTAGGAGCCTGATAAAGCTCCTGGATCCTGAACATCAGTACTACCTATGTATCGTAGGAGCTTGACAAAGCTCCTGGAGAGCGAAACGTTGCTACAATCAAATGTCAAGTTAGTTGCACATGTGTCCTTTTACCTAACATATTTTGAGTGATTCTACCAACATTATTATCCTACCTATGTAGGGTAATAATGACATTATCCTATGTAGGGTAATAATGACATTATCCTACCTATGTAGGGTAATAATGACATTATCCTACCTATGTAGGCTAATAATGACATTATTACCCTACCTATGTAGGGTAATAATGACCAAAAGCTCCAGTTGTTGGCCATCATATGACTAAGACCAGTGTCAGGAAACACTTGTCCTGTTTCCTGACAAATCTGACCTAAATTAGCCTAATCAGCAATCCATCTGAAAAAAAAAAAAAAAAAAAAAGCCGAGATATGAACGCTCTTAAA